TTGGTATATGTACTTTTCTTCCTAAAGTCCAAACTAAATTACTTTTGTCTCTTTTTTTTCCAGCTTGACTGGGATTTATATGTATGTTTATATACATAGCTTACATTAATAACAGATTTCACTCATTAAAAGCCTATAACTATATTATTTAGACACTTGAAACAAATGAATTCATTATTTTCTACTTTTAATAAAAACAAAGCATATATAAATGCATACAATATAAAATATTTTCTTTCATCCAGTATGTACTTAATGTGCACTTTTTCTAAAAGAAAAAAAAGAATCAAAAATAATTAAGAAACTTAGTGTTGCAAAGTCACCAATATAAGAGTCAGGAAGGTGCAATATGGATTCTCAAGCAATAATCTAAACATTCAGCACAGGCAAAATGTTCATCCTGCTCTTTTTTAGGAGTTACTACTTGCAGACTAATGACTGAGACAAGGAATAAGGTATGTCCTTCATATAAAATACCTGCAGGTAAGTAATTATTATCTTTGGATAAAGGCAATAAAGAGTTACAAAACCTCTGGAAAGAATAAATAAATAAAGCCATTTGTAAACAGTATTTATGAAAGGAACCTGATTATCTGCCAGACATCCAGTCTATCAAACCTTGAAAATAATTTAGAACTTTCAAGCTCTTGGTTTCAAGTAATGTATTTAAATGGGGAGGTGGGAGGTATATATTAGTTCATACAAAAATTTAAGAAAAAAACAGACAGCTGTGACAACCAAAAATGTATGTATTCCACAAAGCAAAAAGAAAAATAAACAAGGCAAGAATGTGAAAGCAAACTGAAAAAATGTATTTGGGACCTAATTTGGAAGCAATTAATTCCTATTACTCTTTCCCTTAAAAGAAAGCAATGCATCCATCTCAATACATTACTGGCACTGCCTTGGCATGTGAATGTTGTTCTTTTGAAGATGTTAAATTATAATTACCAACACAAATACTTAATTTCCAGTCTGCATTTGCAGACTCAGTCTTTTTAACTCCAAAAATGTTTCTAAAGAGCCATTGAATATTTTCACTTTTGCATGAATTTGTTCCCATCCAACGAGACAACGTTCCAACTTTCCATCTCTGTGAATGCTTTACTGTCTTTGAAAAATGATGATTAGGCAAAATTTATGTTAAGGTTTTCCCTTTATTGGTTACACGGAAGCACCAGGACTTTTCTGGATACTTTGCAGACCACAATACGGCCACTGAGTGTCTCATGGAGCAGGTGCCTCTTGCACAGCTAGGAAAAGCTTTCTATCTGGAGACAAATAAAGGTTTTCCTTTTCCGTTTCCTCTTCTTTCATGGCACTTATGCCACCAGTTTATACATACTGAAGAAGGTGGGGATTGGAGTGCAATAAAAACTAAAAACTTGAAGACCAACATCAGCCACTCCAGCTGAAAACTGGTAGGTGCAATGTTCTGCCATTGCCCTCAACTACACAAATCATACTTCTCTCTGTTACAACCGCCGTCCCTTCAACCACAAGAAACACACTGGTCAAATAAATGTCATTAATATATTTGCCAGTCAAAATATATCAGGCATGAAACAATGAGGGTATATTAATGTTCTAAAATTTCTTTCCAAGAAGCTCACTTGCCTGAAGCTTACTGCTGAGAAGACTTGTCATTAAATCATGTCATAGAATCATTTAGATTGGAAAAGACCTCTACCATCATTGAGTCAACTGTTAACCCAGCTCTGCCCAGTCCACCCCTAAGCTGTGTCCCTAAGCCACATACATGGCTTTTAAATATCTCCAGGGCTGGTGATTCCACTACTTCTCCGTGCAGCTTGTTCCAATGCTTGACTACACTTTTGGTGAAAAAAAAAAAATTAATAACATCCAATCTAAACCTCCCCTAGCAGAATTTGAGGCCATTTTCTCTTGTCCTATTGCTTATTACATGGGAGATGAGGCTAACCCCCAGATGACTGCAATCTCTCAGGTGGTTGTAGAGAGTGATACCGTCCCTTCCAAGTCTCCTTTTCTCCACAGCTCCCTCCCTGGCTGTCATCACACTTGTGCTCCAGCCCCTTCACTAGCTCCTTTCCCTTCCCTGGACATGCTTGAGCACCTCAATGTCTTTCTTATTGTGAGGGACCTCAAACTAAACATAGGATTTGAGGTGTGGCCTCACCAGTGCAAAGTTTGGGGGGATGATCCTGCTAGTCTAATACAAATCTGCCCCATCAATTTGGAGGGTACAAAAATAAGTGGCTGGGATTCTTTTGTGCCACAGCACAGGCTCTGTTTGACCGTAGTCTTATTCATAAAAGTCTGTCTCTCTTCAGCAATGTTTACTGTAGATTACATCTGGTGTTTAAAACTGCAGGTGCTTTTTTTCTTTCCACACCACCACCACCTCTCCCTCTCCATCCCAGGAGCCTGAAGTGATTGGGAAAGGTTTGTTAGACACAGGGGAGAAGAAGCCACGGGAAATGAGCAGTTTTCCACCCTTCGTGCCCAAATCCAGGCCTAATGCCTTCTGAAATTCATGCGTAACTGCAAAGTCAGTGTGGTGATAACAAGGATAACAAAGCCTTGCTCTCCGGTGTGTTCCTGAGGTGATAAATAACGCATAAAAGATGCCCCTTAACTCAAGAAAGGGGACAAATTCTCAGGAGAGCACTACGCCTTTACCTCCCCGGGCCCGGGCCTGGGCCGGCCCAGCTCAGCCGCCCGGGCCCCGCCCCGCCGCAGGGGCAGCCGGGCCCCGTGTGAGCGGAGCCGGGCCCGAGCCGGGACTGCGGCTGGGGGCTGTCCGTGTATCGGCCGGCCCCACCCGTGAGGGAGCGGGTATCGCATGCTGGAAGCCTGTCTGTCTGCAGCCGCTACCTGCGCAAATTGTCTGCCTCGGCGTCTGCGCTCATTACGCTCAGTAAGGAGATGGAAGGCTGGGAGCGGGAGCGCGGGCTGGCTGAGGCCTGGCTCCTGAGCAGGGACCCTTCAGGCAGGGTCTCCACTGACCCTTCACACACAGTGCTGTGCAGCCGTGAAGGAATGTGGGTACACAGGGATTTTTGCTTTTACGATGCATATTTGCGGCTTTGCTTGTAAGGTAACAGCATCAGACAAGTGTTTTCCTGCAGACGCTGACACGCTGGAACACAAGGTGATGTAATTTAGCCTTGCAACCAAAGACACTAGATGTGCTGTATTTAGGCAAGGATGATACTAGGGGTGATTTCAGCTAGAAAACAAACTTTCTAACACAATTTGAAGCACTAGAAAGCGGGTATTCTTATTCTTTATTCTTAGTGTGCTGAACACACTCAGAGGATATTTCCCTAATCAGGTATGTCATGGAACTTTACAACAAGTTATTCATTCCATCATGACCACAGGTATTCATTACAATGTATTGTCTAGCTAATACACAAGCACCACTTTTCCTAGAACTAATTTATGTGCATCCACCTCTATCTGGGTTTCCTTTTGTGGTTCTATGGGGTTGACTAAGGGGTCTTTGGTGGTCATACCCACTGAGTGACCCCAGTGTTGTAGATGACCTCACCTTGAGCTTCTCTTAGGGCATGCGGTCTTGCTTCTTGTTAGATGGCTTTGCCACAAAAGCCATTATGTTCCTCATTATCTACTGGTTCCAGCTATGTTTAACATCCTTTGGGTCTACTTTTACATTCTTGTATCTATTTTGCTGGTTAGTCTTTAAGCTCTATTTAGCAACTTCAGGGGGAACTGAAAATGTCTGTTATCGGTCAAGCTGTCAAGTTTTTGTGCCCTTTTCTTGAGACTATGTCTCTTTCAGGCAAGTCTCAATGCTTCATTTTCCAGGACAAAGTGTTACAACTGTAACATTGAATCATAATACAGGCAGGTACACACACCACAGTGATTACAGTGGCTGCCATAAATGCATTTTGTAGCAGTCTCCAATTTGGAAGCCATGAAGTAAACCACCAGTCCCACCAAGAAGAATTTTCCTCTTTGTGCCACTCTTCTACTGCTCTTTCTATTGTGGTGATTCCTGACTATTGGACTTCAAACCCATCATTGTTGTAAGTGCAGCAGTCCTGTCCTTTAATAACACACGTTCCTCCTTGGCTAGCAAGCAGATAATCTCAGGCCATGCAGTTCTGTAGAGCCACTGTTCATGTTTGTTGGAGCTCATATGATGTGCTATTTAATACTTAAATAGTATCATTTGCCACTTCTAATAATGTATTTAACTTGTTTATATAAACTCAGAGGACAAGGTAGTGCACATTGGGCATAGCATGAACCATAATATTTTGCTTTCTGAAATCAGAGGGGTGTATTGCAGATCGTCCTGCCTTCCCTGGATGGAAAATGTTCTCTTGGCCCCAACTTATTGCAGATTTTGCCGAAGTACCCTAGGGGGAGGCATTAATATTGCTTGGAAACAGGAAGTTTGATGGTGTAAGTCATGATGGTACATGTCTGAAGTTAGGTGAGTTGAGCACAGCTGTAAAAGCCTCTCACATCCAAGCAAAGGTGAAAATTTCTTTGGCTTACAGCCTTTCCTATGCTAACTTAAGTTACATTTATCTCACCTCAGTGGCTCCCAGAAGGTTTATTTATTTATTTATTTATTTATTTATTATTTTTTTAAAATCTGGAAGCTGTGCCTGTGAGGATTGGTTGTGTCTGTTTCTTTTAGGTTAGCCTTTTATTCCAAAAGGCATTTACAAAACCTGCTGTCACGGATTTAGAAAAGATTCTGCTTGTGTTGCATTCCACTGTAGGGAGCTGTGAGGAAATCTTTTTTAACAGATGGTCTAGGATGAAGTTAATGCAAGTGAGACAACATTGTATCTGAAAACTATTTATTGGTAACAAAAAATAGTTTCCCTGCTAAAGAGGACTAAGGAAGACAGAAAAGGAGAAAGGAAAATGGAAAAGGATGGGCAGGGAGAGAGAGAGAGAAGGGAGACAGACAGAAAAAGAGGGCGTTACCACCAGAGGGTCAGGGAGTGCTGTCGACACCCGGGCGGCAGAGGCTCTGTGTGTGTGTGCACTACGGTCAGGGACACGGCTCTCAGAGAGGCTCCACAGGCACAGCTCCCACGGCAACCGGACACCAGGTGAGTGGGAATGGGACAGGAGGGGCAGAACCCCGGACAGGATGGCAGCGGGGATGGCGGCAACAGGCTGGAGTGATGCCCAAAAGATAGGCTGGAAATAAATCCCCACAGACCGATGTCTGTAGGGCAGTTATTTGTTTATTGCAGTGCTGGTGGTGAGTGGGATATCTCCACCTAACTCACCCACCTTTGTCAAGTGCTCTGGTATATTTATACAGTAAGTATTGCTTAGTGTTACTGTGTCGCTATAACATTGTCATGTATGTGCAGGAACTAATTTACATTGTATGATCTCATGGTTATTAGATAGTTCTTTTGCACTGCACTTGTCCCTCCCCAGTTCAGGAGTCGTCAGGGGTCTTTGGTGAAGGCTTCCAAGGTCATCTTCACATCTGAACTTTTCAACTTTGTCTTTGGAGCATGCGCAGTTACTGTGTTCCTTGGTCTGTCTGGTCCTAACTGGTCTAAATTCTTTGTTTTGTGGGTAATTGGCTTTACATTTGCCAATTTTTCATTAGTACTAACCTATCTCTAAAGCTCTCCACCTGGTGAGTTTTTTTCTTCTTTTTTTTCTATTCAGCATTAAGCAACTAGTTAACCATATACTAGCCATTACACTGTATAGAAAGTTACTTATATCAAGTTGTAGAAGTATAAAAGTTATGATTCAGGTTATATAGGATAAAAGGCTATGATTCAGATTATATTTATATCAGGTAATATTGATATAACTCAAGATATATAGGCACCGTATAACTTTGACCTAAGTTATATAGGCCTAGTTATATAGGCAGGCAGGGTTGGACACAGGAGACTCAGGCAGGAATGCAGGGACAAAGCAGGCAGGGCATCTGTCAAGGACACAGGGAGGCAGAACAGGCAGGTGCTGGGATGGGCAAAGAGATAGGGCAGGGCACAGGCTACACATGAGGCTTAGAGGTCAGCCAGTGTCCTGCCAAGCTCCCAGTGAGAGGAAAAGTGCATACATGAGGGCCAGCAAGGGCAGTAGAGCCAAAAGGCAGGCTGGGGCCAGGACAAAAAGGACAAAAACAGTCTAGGGCCAGGCAAGAAGCAGACCTCAGAAGGCTGGAGCCAAAGCAAAAACACAAGATTCTAAAAGTCCCAACTCAAAAAAGCCCCAAAAAGCTAAGACTCAAAAAGCCAAAAAAAACCCAACTGTAGAGCTTCTGATGCAGTTACTTCTGTGCCCCCTGGCTCCTTCCAAAGTCCACATGCTGACAGGACCAAGAGTTTGGTGGTCATGTATTAGCCAAGTGCAACATTCCACAGCAGTCCATTAGTGGAGACCTTTTGCCATCTGATTACTCTGGAGGGTGCAGTGCTGTTGGTGTTGTCCTGCTGATCGCCTGTCCCATGTGAGCCAGGAAATGGTTGCCACACAAAGTCTCCTCAAAGATGAAGTTTTCTTCCATCTTCTCTTTAGTTGCCTCCTGCAAGTAGCACATGTGCTCCCCCTCCTCCACATGCCTCTGACAATCAGTATTGAGACAAATCAAAATGAAATTGCCTTTTCACAGCTTGACATGCATTTTGTGTGACCAAGTTACCTATTACCAGATGAACAAATACCAGTTAGGTGACATTTGTGGTGGAAATACAATAAACTCACCTCAGTTTCTTGCCATAAAAAATGTGGTTTTCTATTACTAGTAATGTATTTGGAGCCTCTTAGAAGCGAGTTTAGATTTCTTAATTGGATGAAAAAATAGGAGATATCTAGAAGCCCTTTAAATCAAGCAAGCTTCACATAGGTCTTCAGATTTAGTGATGAATCTTCCCTTTGAGACATTCAGAAAGTAAAGGCTTAATATATTTTCCAGTCCCTTGTTTTGACATTTTGAAGAAAAATATTTATAGAATGTCTATATACAAAATCCAGGTAGTTATAACCACCATGCTAAACTTAAAGAAGAGCCTTTGCTTAGGTTAAACACTAAGCATGTGGATAATACTAAAGTTATTTGGAAATCTGCTTACATAAGACGAGAAATTTGTGTGCAGAACCAGTGTGTGGACGACTGGATAAATGAATGTATGAAATACATTGTGGAGAAACTTTGAAATTAAATACATAGGTGTTTAATAGACCCCAGACCTTTGGATTTCTCCTGCTTCCCCCATTTAGTAAGCTGGAGAAGCTTACTGATGGCTTTAAACTTCTAAAGCAAATTCTGGTTCTCATGGTCTTAAGCAGATACCTGCAGGAGTTTCTACTATATTTAGTGTACAGAGAAAAGCATCCCTATCCTCAAAGGAACTGGGTGGTTGGTTCTGGGAAGAGTGCTTTTTTCTAGAATTCCTTATACATGGAAAGATAAGTGGAATAATTTGATCTGACCATTTCTGTTGCTCAGGTGCTTAAATTCATGTGGATGTGAGTACCATGCTTTGTGCTGGACAATTCAGCATTGTTCAGGTGTCAGGCAAGGTGAACTAACTTTGAACAGAGAACTATCCTGAAATGAGTACAGATGTAGCAAAAGTTTATGGTTGAAATGGTCTTTTCTTTTTTTTTTTTTAAACCCTAAGGCATAACACAGCTTTTCAGCCATACATAATCAAACTTTGTCCAAGAAATCTCAGAAGGACACTGCAGCCAGTCTTGCAATATAAATATTTTTACAGTTCAAGGGAAAGTTGCAGTATGGTGGAAATACAAATATGTGTATATTGACACAGGTATATTTATGTACACATTAGTATAAAAGAAAATATTTTCAATCTGGATATAAACACAGTTTTGGATAAAAGAGGTTTAAGTCTGTATGCACAAAACTAGCTGTACTGCATTGCAAGTGAGGATTAGTATTTAGTGGTCCAGTGGGACTACCATCCATAAACTATCCAAGAAAGAGAAAAACACAGTATTCTGCTTTTCTGTACTCAATCAGATGAATTAAAAACAAATGGAGACCCAAGAGTCCTGTGTAGCCTAGTTCTAAACTGCAGCAAAGGAAAAATACTGAAAAACCGTCTGATAACTCCAGTAGGCCTTTGTGAGTCAAAATACTGAAGCCCAGGACATTTTTGTTTTGTGCACAAAGACAACTGGCAACACTTTGGTCCTGGTAGCATCAATATTTTGCCCTGTGATCTTTAGAAAAAAAAATAAAATTAATAAATATGCAATGTTTGACGTTGATAAAGTCAAAAATCACAAAAGTTAAAATACACATATAAGGACTTACTGATTCAGGGAGCCTCCCCTGAATTTTTCTGAATAAGAAAAACATTAGACCAGAACTTTTCTAATTCTAGGATGTGGATACACCATCTTTCTGCAGTGCACAATGCAGCTGGCTTTAAATAAAAGACTATACCTATAGAAAGTGGTCTGGCTGTGAGAGGAGAGAGGAACTCTCACGGAACTCTCTTGCTGTTTCTAAAGTCATGTTTAAGCCATGTTTTCCTTGCAGGGAGGTGGATTCTGTGTTTTCTATTCCATAGTATCCACAGCAGAGATTATGATGTATGTACTTTTCTTGCTTTAGGTTTTGAACATGTTTAACAGTAGCTCAGGCTTTTGGTTTGTGGAATTCATTTTGAGGTGTCTTTTTGTGAGAGACTGAAGCGTTATGGCTAAGGGCTTAAACATTGTTATGAAGGATTTCTTGCCCTTTATGTCCAAACTGTATAAAGAAATTGTGACCACCAAAGCCCACCCCTTCCTGAATATTCCTCCTGATTGGAACTTTGGACTGAGTTAAGCCACCTAAAGGAACAATGAGATAAAATACCAGTGACACTATTTACCAGCTGGCACCAGTTACCTCAGGTCTAGGGTGAAGTAAACAAGGATGAGGAAGAAGAAAGGATCCACAAGAAAGCACTTCCAGCATCTGTCCTGAAAATCCACTCTGGGTTCAGGGTGGGGGAGGTCAGAGCTCACAGACTCATTTGCTCTGGCCAGGTTTGCACAAGCTCTTAGTCCAACCAAGAGGAGAGGAGGTTTTAAGGTGATTGCATAGTCTCTGGTCAGAGGAGGTAGCAAGAAAAGACAGCCAAGATGATGGATCAAATTGAAAGGATTTTTGAATAGATGTGTCTGAGTACACTCTCTGTAAGCAACATTTAATGAATATTCCTGAAGTCTAGCTGGTTGGAAGAGAAGGGGGAATCACTGTAACTCTGACCTTTTGCTGTACTGACTTCTTCAGTAATAAGCTGCTCTTTGTGGTGTTTTAGGAGCTCCATGACAGAATTCCCTCTGACGATTTCAATATAGAGCCCAAAAGGTGGAGGTCGGTGGCTCACGCTCTGCTGAGGACCGGGGTCCCTGGAGGCCGGGTGTGTTGCCTGAGTGGGAGCCACTCAGCCTTGCAGTGCTCCACGCCATTCAGCAGCTCAGCATGGGCCCAGGGATCCTGAAGGTGGAAGCTTTGGATGAGGGCCATTTGGTGTGTGTGAAGTGGGAGGATGGAAGTGAGAGCAGCTACCCCTGCGTCTGGCTGAGGGACAACTGCCAGTGTCCCCAGTGCTTCCTGCCCTCCGCCGGAGCACGCAGGCTGCTCTTCGAGGACCTGGATGTCAACATCGTGCTGAAGAAGGTTGCTCTGGCAGATCCAAGGAAGGTATTTCATGCAGACCATCATTCACCTTCTCATGAAATCTGTCTAACAGTGCTTATTAGTCTAAATTCGAGACAATTCCAAGTTATATTCTAATCACAGTTTGCTTATTTGCAAGCCTTACCAGGTGTTTGCAAAGATTTTAGGAAGAATCCCAGTCTGGGGAGCTCAGATCTTTCCACCTTCATACAAAACTTCACTTTATAGATGTTATGCAGAGGCTGCATAAACCCAGGTTTCAGTTTTTATAATACAATAAAGCATTTTAAAATTCTACCATATGCTTCTTCGTCACTAATTGTTGAAAATACAGACATTTCTTGCAAATTTAATTACACTTACACTTTTTCTTGTCTTTAGTCTTTAAGTCAATGGGCTTGAAAATCTGAAAAACAAATTGTAAAACAATGGTGACCTTAATCCATAACAAAAATACCTACTTATTAGCAGATTTTCAATATAAAATAACCTTAATCTTAGAGTGAACTCTCAAACCAAACTTGAATCCAATAATCAGAATTGGACTAATGTCTGTATTCCTGTCTACTTATCTGCATTAACATTTCTTCCTGGAAAACAGAAGGTTATTGAGCAAGAGCGGATAGGAGCTGCCCTCTTTAGGAATTTCAGTCTTTCCTGACACATAAAAACTTAGTATATTATTTGGATTTTTTAATGTTTTATTAAAAGCAGTACATGGCTTCTTTGGCAAACTAATTTCCTTCATTGTATACTTAAAGATGTTTTGAACAAATATGCATCAATCCACCCTGGGTCAGATGGGGCAGCCTTGCTGCAGGGGCAGTTTGTAGAGGCTGACTTGTGTGTTAATGTCTCAGTTACAGGGTAAGGGTCTCTGGTGAGGAATTCTGGGCTCCTAAGTTGATTGTAGACAAAATTAATACAATGTAAATTTATTATTTGATTAGGCAAATTAAGAATTGTCTGCTTCCACTTATATTCAGAAACTGATGAAAGCACAGCACTAATGCTAAAATGATAGTGATAGTGTTTTACCATCATGTGAATGAGCAGAGTCATGTGAATTGGGAATTGAAACCTACTCATCCACCTTAAAAATCCAGCTGAGGGTCTGTGCTGGACTGGGCTCTTTCAGTTCATGACAAGCAAAGCCATATGCTTTCTTTCCATGTTTTTTTCAGAAACTGAAAAACCCAACACTTCTTAAAAATTTATTTGGTAGAGGGAAGGCTTCAAAAGTAGGGAGGGGACAGATTTCTCTCCTAGCACAAAGTCCTTGTCTGTCTTGTTTGGTTTTTTTTTCTCGTGACCTGTTAGTGTTTTGCAAGTTATTTTCACTCTTCTATTTCACTCTTCTGAGTGAAGTGCTCTCCCCAGTCATATGCACCAGTTTTTACAAGTCTCTTCTTTCTATTAAGTGCAGCTCCCACAGTGGAAACAGTCCACACAAACCAGTAAATTAGGTTGTGGGTTGAAATGAAAATGAACATTTATAAGAAGTGTCAGAATTTGAATGGTGTTCAGGTTTTCGTTACTTGTTTGCAATCATGCTTCAGGTAAAGTTTAACTCAGATATTAGTGATCTAAGTATTGCAATTTCTGCAGCTTCTAAGGGGTTTTGTTGTTCTAGGTGATATTTTCCAAATTTTTTTTTCTAAACTCACCTTTTCCTTTCTGTTGAAAGATCTCTATTACGTGGCCTGACGAACACACAAGTGAATATGAAGCTGAGTGGTTGAAAAAACGATGTTTCTCTGAAGAAGCCAGAGCTGTAATGCGAGCAGATTTATTTTTACCAGGTAGGAATGAAATCCTTGTCTGCCATGCTTGTGTCAAATGCGAGGGGTTTGACACTGACAGTCCTGGTTGGAGATGCCTGTGTGAGGACCAGGTCTACCCAGCTGAAGCAGTGGCAACAACCCTTGGTGCCCAGGGCCGGGCTGTTACATGCATGACAGGGACTTGAGGTTATCTTTTCCCTCTTCTACATTCTATACCTGAGAGAAGTACAATTAATTTGGCTGCATTTACTTTCCTAAAAACTGTGAAAGTCTCACAGTGAGCCATGCTCTGTGGCTCAGCAGTGGTCTTTAACTATGCAACTGTGTAAGTGCTGTTTAAACCATTTAAATTTTTCTAAAAACAAAGATTATTTGGAATTGCAAAGGTGTTACAACTGAAATATTTTTTCCCCTTTTCATGGTTTTCTTGTTAAAAAGTAACTGTGTAGCATAGCAGTTTGTAGTGCTGAAGTTCAGGTTGTGTTTGCTTTGCTTCCCATGCATGTTTTACTGGTAGACTGTCTTTTGATCACAAAGTACAAAAGTACAACTGTCTTTGTAACATTTACGCTGCACAAATCACTTACCCTTTTAAGTGAATAATTATAAACCCACTAGGTTTGGCCTGAAGCATATCATCATTACTTTGGCAGCCTTTCAGACTGAGCATGAAAGTGTGAAAGCTTGCAAGATGCCTGTGATTGCTTTTGACAGTGTTCCTGTGAGATCTGCTGTTGCAGAAAGCTGTGCATCTGTATTCAGTGTTGAGAAAGTATCTGTTAAAATAGGACATTACTGCTTTAAAACTTGAATGATGAGAAATATTTCCATTAATTTCAGTGGATGCTACAACAGACTCTTCATAGTTCCAAATGAAACTATTTTCCCCTGGTAATACAAAAGTTTGTATCTACTTTAATTTTGGCAAAAGTAAACAGTTGTGTTTACTATTAAAAAGGGTTTGGCATGCTTCCAGAGTAAATATGGTGAAGATACAAACCTCATTCAGGAAAACTAGACTTGATTTTTTATTTGTGAAAATGAATATGCTGTGAAAGCTAGCAGGATATTTTGTAGCCTTCAAAGGGATCAACATAAATTGAACATTGCTTTAATTAATACCCAGACAAAATAACCTAGATGTCAGGTTGTGTTCATTGGCAAAGATATTAATTACTGAGAGTTCAGTATTTCAGATGTTACACTATTTTTTTCACCTATTGTGAAGACTTAACTGGCTGTGATTTGCCTTCACGTGCATGCATTTGCACAATGCTTACTCTTGGAATCTAAATACAGTGCATATTTTGGAAGTCAGTTCTCTGCTCTGCTACTGCTCTTCTCCATCCAGGAGCCATCCAGGTAAAAATATACATCAAAGATCTGTTTCATTCTATGAGCAATACTTCTTCAAATTCTGTCCAGAGGGACCTGGAGCAAAGCATGGCTGCAGAAGAAGATGCAGCAGCTCCAGGAGAAAGGGAATTGGTCCCGATCTCGTCCCCTTCTTCCAGCCCAAGCTGCATCCAGGCTCAGCTGGCTGAGCTAAACACATGGCTAATAAAATAGTTATAAAACTCATAACTAATAAAATAGTTATAATGATAATAATATTAA